TCATTTCCAAGTCCAAAGTACCCACAAGGACAGTAATCCTGGTGCTATGAGCCATCCGTCTTTTGTAAGTAAATAGGAAAAAAGAACAATCAGCAAAATTCTCCACAAGAATTAATTGTTCTTGCGGGGGAAACTAAAATACCACATTCCTGACCTTTCCCACACAGTTAGATATCCACGGGCAATGGTGGTCAACTGTTCCACACAACGCTTACAAGTAGGGCAATGCTTAGATCGGACAGCTCTTATTATCTGATTATGCAATTCCAGAAAAGCAGACAATGAGTATTACATAAACTTGAGTTCTTGAAAAAGTAAACTCTAACTGCAAATTAGCACTCAACAGTACTTCCATCCAATACCCAAACAAATGCACCAAAAAAAAAAACCTTGCAGGTAGGGCAAAGTTGAGACCAATTTCCTGTCCAAACAGAGGAGCTGTTCAGGTCAATATTCAATAAAGGATCCTACAAAACGCCAAATATAATATTAGCACGTTTTCTGGTTAATAAAACAAGTAGATTTGTTCATAATCCAGTAAGAATTACAGTTCATATCAAGATATAAATACTCATAATCTCCCATTGAGTTTCAAAAGAAAACCCAGAGTTGCATCAATGATTGTTTTGTCTGAAAGGAACAGATATAAACTGTCATGCATGGTCAATCCATTTATTGTTCAAATCAAATGCAGTGAAGAACCTGATAACTAGATGTCATTCAAGTTACAATACATGAAATATAATTCTACTGTTCACGAAATCATATCTTTACTACCTCATTGACGCTATGCTCACAGATAAGATGCCCACATAATTTGAAGGTTCTCTTGCTAAAACCTGACTCTGGTGCAAACTATTTCTTAAACATGACCATCACAATTTGGAGCAACCTTTTTATAGACAAGGGATTACATGTGAGAACATTGCATACCTCTGCATCACTATGAGCACCTGAATCTCCTGGTCGTTTTATATAACCAGGATCTTTACTGCACAAAAGTGCAAATAACATTAAGAAAATTCTGACGTTGGCAACTATAAATAAAAACACGTTTGGCAAAACTAGATCATGTAATAAGCATATATGGTAAAAATTCAGATAGCGTAGGAAGTTGGTATCATCAAGCCCGTTGGCACAGTATGGCATAAAGCAATGCAAGTCATATGAATGTCTTCGAAAAGTCAAAAGATAAAAATAACGCAATTAAACTAACTGTCTGAATTTCTTACTTGTAAGACAAATCCAAAAGAAAAAGGCACTTTACCAATAGGCATTAAGCGGTCCTCCTGCTCCACACACATTGATGTACATGTCCTCTCAATATCATTGTTGGTAGGTTCAAGTAAAATGAAAATTCCTATTTCAGATATTTAGTTATCTCATCTCAAAGTTCTAGAACTTGACATGGTAATAACCAGAAAATTTGGGAAGGCCCTACAAGTTAAAAGAATCTAAGATCAAGTAATTGGCTGCAATTTATAATTCTTTACTATTAAGTTCTCGCTAAAGTGGCAAAGACCACGGCCACAAGTTATAGGTTTTATATCAGGCCCGCTTCAGTACTTTGTGCGTTGTTAAATGATGATATAGCACTCGTAAGCACTTAAAATCACTAAACAATGCAAGCCAAAACCTAATAACTAAATAACAAAAGATAAAGACAAAGTAGAAAAAAGGAAGTATGCATCAATCCCAGCGATTTTAGCAATGCGTTGACTGTTGACTAACAGAAAGAACCAGTCTTCTCAAAATAAAAGGAAAAAATAATAGTGAATTCGGAGAAAGAAGAGAAGAATATATTAATAAAAATCATATAACAACCACAACACGGAGAAGAGAAAGGTAAAGGATAAAGAGACATGATTCTCCTTTAACTCATCTTAGCATAATTAAGTTCGAATAAACCATCAAAATGGGGGGAAAACAAAATACATCAAAATACAAAATACATGCTAGTCAAATTTTACAGTGCTAGGTCCAAACCGCAGAACTTGGAACTGAGATCTTAGTTTCTTGACTTTTCATCAAAGCATTCACGTGAAAATAACAGCTACATCAGCAGAGAATGTCTGTTCAAACCAGAGAGATGCATAAAAATGAAGAGAAGAAAGAAGATTCATGTAAGACAGAAATTTTACCTACTGCACCTGTAGAACATAATCAAGGAACCAACTGCCAGGGAAGAGCAGTCCAAGCCCAAAGACCGACAACAGCAGTAATCTTTTGAAAACTAGAACCTGGAGAGCGAGGAAACGATTCAATCTTTGAAATATTCAAAGAAATATTACAATAAAGATACAAAATATGTAAAAAATTGTAAAAAAGTTCTTGAAAGACCTGCAACAACTGAGTTGGTGAAGAGGAACATTTCAAAGATTATAATACAAAATAAAATGGGAGCATAACCGATATCTGCCATCCTCCCACTACAAATTTTGTCTCTCCAGCGGTTGCTTAGAGCTCTCTGTTGATTAGACTGCAATATATTAGACCATTATCAGCTATAAAGCCAATATTTGTGTTGAAATGCAGATATCTTAACTACAAATGACAAAAGTAATTTACATCAATCAAATGCTACTTCCTACACATTCCTTCGGTACTTTCAAACTGGCAGTAAGATTCTCCCCAATTATTAACTTCTGCTGCACCCAGGCTTCACATCATTATTTTAAACACAACCAACTTAGCAGAACAAGAATTTCCCGGTAGCACTATGGCTAGATTATTTACAGGATCAGTAATGAATAACTGCAATGGTAGTAACAAGTTTTCATAAATAAGAAAAATTTGGGGTGATAGAGCTCAATGGTGTCATGAGATACATGTGATCAACCCTACTTAGTGGGATAAAGTTTTGTTGTTGTTATCATCCATTTTTTGACCTAGCTCCGGACCAGACTAAAGTACGGGTTTACACTAGTTTTTTAGTTGAAACAATTAGTCTAATCTGGTTTTCAGTACACTTCAGGACATACAATATTACAAAATACTACTAAACTATGTTATGTAAAAGGATAAAAGTTACAATAGTTCAACAGACATCTCAACTATAAGATATAAATTTTTATATACTAAACAAAGTGAAACCCTGACTAATAATTTATCTTGGATTCGTGCATTTCATGTTAAAACTATCTGACATTGGCATGTCCTCACTTAGACCCTTTCAACTTGTAGCTATAACAAACCCAACATGGGGGAAAAAACAAGAATATTATAATAAATAAGAAAAGCTGGGTATTTCATTCCCAGGACCAAGCTAATAATGTCTAGTCCTGAATCATCATCTGAAATTTTAAAAAATCAAAACTATAAACAATAAAATCAGCAAGTTCGGGCTTCTACATTTGAAGAGTAATTTGATGATAAACGAATAAGGATGTTGATGGATAGTGAAAGAGAGAAAAAGGAAAGAAGAGAGGAGCGGGGGGAGAGAGATTAAACTGAATAATACTCTGATTAGTCAACAAGCATAAGCCATATTCCAATTGGACTCCTTTATAAAGGAGTTGACAACTAAACTACCTCAACTAATGGCTATTATTACTTATTCCCTTAACTAACCGCAATCAACTAATATCTTATATTAATTACAACTTACACATCAGATGTTACTCAAAGATTAACTTCAGAAATTTCCCTTTTTACCATGTTAATCCAGATCATCGCCCATAAGCTCATGGAAATGAGGCCTTCAATAATTTCTTTTTTTCTTTTTCTTTTTCTTTTTTGACACTTTGTTTCCTTCTACGCTAAGTAAATACATACGTATATAAAACATTTGCATCTCCGAAATCTCCTTCAAGAGCATGCAACAGAAGAACTACATGCAATGATGGTTACTCCTACTCATTTTTGGAAGTCTCATGAATGATGTTTTAGCAAGAAAATATACAACCAAAAGCCTCATGAATACACTGTTACGTACAAGGAAAAAGGTGACATGCCGATGACCTTTATCATGTGCAAGCTGTACAGGAGTTTTTCCAGCATTGTCCTTCACCGCCAGTTCTTTCTTTGTGCCTGAGTGTACAAGCACAGTGCATACCTCTGCATTTCCTCTTAGTGCAGCCCAGTGCAACGGCGTACAACCTGTAGTTTTATTGAGTACCGTCTCCTTTAAAACTAAAATGACTAATATAACTCTAAGTTAACCCATAGATTTGGGAACAAACATCTTTTTCTAGTTATAATAACTTAAGAAAGCAACACCAATCCAGTGTAACAAATAATTATAGCTTCCAAACTCGTATAGAACAGTCTTCATCAAATATAAAAGTGAGCTACATTGTAAAAATTTACATGCATTATAAAAAGAAATCTAGCAACAGAAAATGTTTCTCCAGCATCTTGAAATACAAAACCATTGTTAAAACAGATGCATCAGTAGATATACGTGAAAGAACACTCCCTCCAGCTCAAAATATAAGCATCAAATCTTTGAAGGGGCTTGATTTTTTTGTATAAGATACAATTTGGATTTTTCTAATCATTTAATGCATTTTTTTCATTTTTACCCCTAATTAATTATATGTCTCTCTCATATCTCTTCCCCCCTCATTCTCTCTCTCACTTACCCTTTCCATAAATAAGGGTGTTTTAGGAAAATAAGTTGCATTTTTTACATATTTATTGTCTTTAACTAATTTTGACCAACTTTTTGGGTTGCGTGATTTAGTTATTTAATGCTTATACTTTGAACTAGAGGGAGTACATTAGAAAGCTTTACACTAGCAAATTACAGAATGGTTCTACCTTTGATGCCATTATTCTTGCAAGGTTTATCCAATACACACTATAAAATATTAACCACAGAGAACATCCGCCCGGGGAAGTGATAGCTCACCTCAGCATCAAATAGACCACCAACATCAAATCAGTCAAACTTCACCAAAAACTTAAAACTATAAGAAAGGGCTTATAATGTGCAGAGCAATTGATTGAGAAATTATACAAATGAACAGAAACCAAAGATCAGTGTCGCATACCATCTTTATCTTGTCTCTCTTGGCATGCATCCCGGAATAGAAGCAATCGGATTGTATCAGCAAACCCCTTATAAGCAGCCCTGTTTGAAGAACTAAAAGAATAAAGGATACAAGAATCTAACAAAGATAGTCGACATCTTCAACAAAATTAGTCCTATTCATATGCAGCCATGGTTATTACCAAAACAGAAGTGCGTTAAATTTACCAACCAGAAGTATAACACAACTTTTTTAAACGAAGGAAAAATGATGTTTACTGGATTCTCTGGTTCAAAATTACAGTATTAAGTACTGAGCTTGCACTAAAGACTGATAAAACAGATAGTGAAGATCAACAAAGACAAAAATAACATGAAATGTCCAGTGAAATGGTCTCATTATGCTTAATCTGCATTTCACAGAAGTTCAATTTCCAAAGCTTCAATACTTGCACAAAGTTCAAAATATATAATTTTTCCTTCAAGAAAAGCACCACTTGATTATCTTGTCATTCTTAATTTCATTAGCAAGGATTTTCATTTTTTTTCCCTTCTGATGAAATAGCTTTTTCAACATGCACATAATTCTCATATAGATAAAAACATAATTTTCCAGCCGGCCATTCTCTTAAACAAGACTACGTTTGACAGAAACAACATTGGCAACCAAGTATATGTGTTTAAGCTTGAGGGGAGTATTTACAAAACAAGGCACAAATGACTGTCACCAGGCATAACAATCCAAAGCTTGATGGCATACCAATGAAGAGGACTTCGCCCCTCATTATCAGGTACATCAAAGTCAGCATTGTACTTTGCAACGATGTGATTTAAGAAAGCTGTTTGTCCATATTGAGCAGCAAAGTGAACTGCCTGCACCATACAAGAAACAATGTAATCAACATATACCGAGGGGGCAGGTTCCATCTTATTGAATACAGGGAAACTGGCACTTTAGACTAAGCAACATTATATATTCCATCCCATGACAAAGCAACCAAAATTTTTTTTAAAAAAATAATAACTAAATCAAACCACGTAAAAAAACCAACTTCTCCAAACAGATAAATGAATACCCTGTATCCATGTATATCAGCAGCCTCAAGCCAAGCACCGTTCTCCAAGAGCAAATCAGCCACTGGAGTTGCCCCATGAACTGCCGCCCAGTGTAGTGCCGTCTGTTGCAGGTGATCAGTAGCGTTGACATCGGCCCCGTGCTTCAAGAATCAGGAAAACAGCCAGACAGAGTTTTAGAGGGCCAAAAAAAAAGGTAAGCCGACACGTGACATAGCCCATCTATGCCTTGTCAGAATAGCAATTTAGCGTGCAGACACCCTTACTTACAACTGTTGCTTCTATTAACCATAATGGCTAAACAAATGACGGGGAAAAAAAAATGACTCCCTTCCTCATGCATAAGAAAGTGAATCAGTTCAAAATTTCACCAAGCCCAATATTTTATCATCAAAGCTGAGCTCACATTCGCATTATCACTTACTAAGAAAAATGATTAAAAAGCATGGGAGTACCTTAATGAGATACTGCACAATATCTGGAAAGTTATTAAGGGATGCCCATTGGAGAGCATAATAGCCATTGGAATCAGGTACAGAAACGGAGGCACCTTCTTGTTCCACAAACCACCTCAATTTCTCAAAGTCCCCACAAGAACAGGCAGAAAACACGTCTACTACAGGAGGTATATCGGGAATTTTCGGGGTTTTAGAGTCCGATGACACCACCTCGATCTCCGACGAACCCATTTGGGCTATAGCATTCGACAGAAAAAACAGAATTTCAAAAGCTATTAGGATTAAGGGTTTTCTGGGCAAGGATCAAGATGAAACCTAACTGGTGATTGCTTGCAGGGAGAGGGAGAAAGAGAGAGAAGAATTTAGAATCTGCTGGGGCGTCGCAGAAGCTTCGGTTCATAACATCCCCAGCTCCGTCCACTATTCATCTTTTCTCGTGTTGGCTTCTCTTTCAACTGTAGCGGCCGACGAAGTGACGTGGAGAGGGTTCCTTTTTCTCTGAATATTTTTGAGCTTTACCGATAAAAGAAAAGTAACGTAATGCAATTTTTTTTTAATTTTTTGCCACGAAAATATATTATTGACCTAGGATTCTGAAAATAAATCATTGTCCAAATTAATTTCTCTAACTGTTAACTACTTCCCACCCCCCAAAAAAAAATTCTTCTGAATAACTTAAAAAATTTATATTTAATTTTTAATATTTAAAACTTAATTTTTTTAAATGCAAGAAATCAATAAAATATATTGAAGATTTAAAAAAACATAAAAATTGAACAGAATAAAATTAATAATTGCTTATGGTTTACAGATGCTATGATTTCTTATAAACTAGAAATAGAAATTCTACCCGTGCGTTGCAAGGGTGGATGATAAAATTTGCATGTAAATTTATAATTATACATACAGCTATGCAAGAATTAAAACTTTTTGATACATAATTAAAATTTAAATGACCATGAAATCAATCACAAAATTTCATATATAATAATTAAGATCATAGGATTCCTACAAATAGAATTCGTGGTAGATAGAAATGGGCATCCCGCATTTTCCTCTAGAATAATTTAGGATGTGTTTAGATTAGCGGTGGAGAAGTAACTTTTTTTTCAATCTGACTTTTACAGAAGTCAGATTGAATAAAAGTCAGATAGTGTAATGTAATTTATGTTTGGACTGGATTTTGTAAAAAAATCAGTTTGAAAAGCTGACACTTGTTTTGATGATTGATGAAAAAGTAAGTTTGGATATAAAATGACTAAAAAGGAAATAAATTTTATTATATGCAACAAATAAATATGGATAGTATGATCATTTTCTATGTAAATGGCATTTCTTTTGAGGTAAGAGAGAGTGTATCCCATTTTCACAAAGCTTATTTTTTCTCACCCCATCGTGATGCATCCCACAAGCAACAAAATATAACTTCAACCAAAAGCTACTTATTTTCATGAAGTTCATTTTGTTCTATCATAATTCCAAACAAAAATTATAATCAGAAGCTAGTTTTGCTGGGAAAAGTCAGTTTGAGATCATAAAATGTAATCCCAAACACACTCTTAGTTGGTAGGATTGGTGGGGAGGAACTGGTGATGAGTGAGTTCCTGAGTTTGAGTGACCCCTTAAGAGTTGGATACAGTTGCTTTTAACTTTGGAAAAGTGATTCATGCCCCATTTTATGGAGAACATAAATGTCTTTTAATTGAAAACTCTAGACTGATTTTATCAAAAAGAAATTCAAATTTCATTGTTTTATAATTTATCGAGAAAAGTTCTTGCGTCCAGAATGAGTCTAGCAGCTATTTGGATTGTCTGCAATACGCTTCTACCAAAGCCACGGATTCGAGCTAGCAAACAAGTAAAATCCATGCTATTTTGATAAATCAGCCTAATATATAACATATCATATGAGACAAAACATTATTAAGTTACTGCAATACATATATTCTCATTTACAAATGAGTAGATTAATTCATAAATCGGTAAATTCATGCCGTTATTAATAGCTATTTGGAGAAAGATACAAGTAACTACTCCCTCCGTTCTTTATTATAAGAGACATTTGATGTTTATGGCATGTTCTTATATATAAGAGACACTTAAAAGTTGTCTCTACTTTTTTGTGTTAATTTCTTATTTTACCCATATTTATTGTCTCCAACTCACACTCTCTTTTCCTCCCACTTCTCTTTTTTTCAATAATTTAATTGTTTTCTCTCATGCTCTCTCCTCATTAATGAGGGCATTTTTAGAAAAAAATTATATTTTTTACACATTGATTGTTCTTAACTAATTTTAACTGCTTTTTGATCAACGTAATTCGGTTATTCGTCTCTTATAATAAAGGACGGAGGGAGTATGATGTCTGTCCTTAATCAGTAGATTAGAAATACATATTCTCGTTCAGGTAGCCTTCATTTTGCCGTCAGTAGCCTATCAAAATCAACCAAAAAAAAAAAAATTCTTAGAGTGCGTTTGTTGCAGAAAAGAAGCATGATAATAGAAGGAAATAATTCCCATAATGGGGACTTTAGTCATGCGATTTGTTTGTAGGGATAGAAACAGGTAGTTTGTAGCCTGGTCTGTATTTGGCTTGATTTGTTTCAAAATAGAAAAATGCTCAAGTTTTTTTTGATAGCATGTTTAGCCTAATAGGCCAAACCTAGGCTTTTTCGAAAGCCTGTTAGGCCTAGTCTGTTTTTTTATCTTATTTTTAATTTTTATTTTGTACTTATATCTAATCTTACTTTAAATTTTGATATATAATTATAACTTGTTTTCAATAATGTTAACTATAATTAAGATTTGAAATATTACTTATAACATTAAAATTTAAATAAAAGGTAATAATAAAAAATAATTATTATGTAGTACATATATTTTATATTTTTTATTAGCCTATGTATTTTTTACTGTGCATTTTGAAAATTTTAAAATTATAGGTTTTTTTTAACAGGTTCAAGCCAAGCCAAACTTTTATACAGACCAGGCTCATGTTAAAAAAAAAAAGGCTTATTACAAGTCACAGGCTAGGCTCAGGCCAGCATGTTACTAAATAGGCCTAGCCTATTAAGAACAAAGCTTGACCTGTTTCTATCCCTATTTGTTTGTACCCCTCCGAACCGTACTTGTCTCTCAATGCCTTATGTGTCTTCCTCCCATCAGTATCCTTCTATCCAAAACTGTTCGCATCACATCCCATTAGTTCCAGCAAGTTTCGCTTCTGCGTCCCTTTCTAAGAAAATAAAAAATTGAAGGAGGAACACCATCATAAAAATCAAAATAGAAGAAATTAAAATTAAAATTTAAAATGTGTTTTAAGGGAGAAATCAACGGCTACTACAAAACAGTTGAATGCAGATTCATCTTATTGAGATGCCTGAAAGAAGAGGGAGAAATCAAGCAAAGATGTAAACTCTAAATCTGCTACCACAAGATAGTTGAAGCCTCACCTTGTTGAGACGTTAGAAGACGTAGACACCATTGGAAAGTGGACGATAGCACATGAGAAAAATCAAAAGGTTCCCCATAACGATAGGATACTTTCCTATGACCAGAGTAAAATGTAACGTCGACCGCAGGCAAATTATTAAAAAAAAAAAGGTAAATGAAATTCAAGGGACCCGGTAACACGACCCATTTATCTACCGGGTAATATGAGATTTCAAGTAGAAAGTAGATAGATAGATTTTAGACATTTGATTCTCATTAATTATTATTTGTAGCGAAGTCGTTATAATTTTCCCTTGTTTTGCATCTTTTAAACCAAGTATGAAATAAGAACTTTTTCATTTCGAAACAAGTACAAAAAAATAAACGTTTTTCCTAATTTGATTCATTATTTTAATGAAGAGAAATAATGGCACTCATTGATTTAGAAAACGTGTATTCCAAAATTACTGGGACAGAACAATACAGTTGTCAACTCAATTTTTATGCGTGGTCCAACGAGCATTTACTGAACTTTTTGTTTCAACGGTAGGAAGTTATCTGTGTTATGATCAATGAAAAAAAACATATTATGATTGACATTCCAGAATGGCTCCATGGCTGCCGATGGAAGCTGAGGATTTAATATTTGTCAGGTTTTGCATAGCATAGGATTTAATATTATTGTTTTTCTTTTATATGGAATAAAAAATATTCAAAAGTTTACCAATAAGCCGTTGGTTGAGATAATAGTCAGTGGTTTCACCTTTGTAAAAAGATAATACAAATTCAAATAATGAGAAGCGTATTTGTTGAAAGGGTTTTAATTTTAATATTTATAGTCTGACAAAAATTAATTTCAAACTCAAAATAATTCAGAGCTATACCAAAAAAAAAAAATCAAAAATCTCTTGGACATGCTGAAACATACTCAAAGTAACAAAGGAGCAAGTTTAATTTCCTTCCACATTCAAAATTTCATGTGTTATTCTTCGAAACTGAAGATGCAAGTTATTTCAAGACAACAAAATCAAGTCGCTGACTTTAGTAGAGAAAGAGTTTTTGGGATTTGTTTCCCCTTTTATTTAGTTTTTTTTAGCTCAAAATGGTATATTTAATTATTTATTTAAATAAAATTGTTTGGTTTGATTTCTAGTTTATTTGGATTAATTTTGATTAGTTTGGATCGAACCATAAGACATGGCCTGAGGATATATACATATATTTTCTATTTTTTTCTTCGTTTTTTCATGACAGTGTTATAGTGGGCTGCATGTATTTACGAGTCAAACATCTTTATTTAAAATTAAAGGTTTTTCTTGCATTTTTTTTTCCTAATTTGCTATCGAACTCAACTTTGTGTTAAACATATAGAATAATATCCATTATAACATATACAATTCACCAAAATGTTTTTCAGTTTGTACGTCACTGATTTTGTATATGAAAAATTTAAATTTCTTCCGCTCACAGACATCATCATTCATTATAGTTATGAACATTGATCCTATATCCTAAAAAAAATCATATACCTAGTTATCAATAAATACGGGAAATTATACATGCAAGTAGCATGAGCTATATTTTATTGCAAGTCTTTTTTTGTTAAGCACACATATTTTCTTACTGGAGGTAATTTTATTTGAAACACTATCCGACACTAAGGTACTGTTTGGTATGAGGAAAATGGAGAGGAGAGGAGGGGAAGAAAAATTTTAATGGGCTCTATTTAAAAAATTAGAAAAGTGAGGTTTTGAAATTTTAATAAGAGAAGAAGTAACATAAAAGAGTAATAAAAATTAATTAAAAGTTTTTAACTCCAACTTTTTAATTTTTTATATTGAGCTTATTAAAATTTTCCTTCTTCTCCCCTCATTTTCCCTCGTACCAAACGTATACCTAAATGTGGGTGTTAATCCCTTCCCCTACAATTCTTGTTGATAACTATAATGAAGTATAATCCATTCTCAGTCAAAAAGTGGTTTAGGCTTAATTTATTAGTGAATGGGTTATATAAAA